TTATTTTTCAAATTTCTTCCGGACATAGTCAAACAGTAGCAATACATTTTTAAGTTGCATCCAAATATTACCCAAACAACAATATTTCATTGCCAGATAACATAGTACATTAGTACTATGTTACACAAATAATTTATTTAACAGACTATATTTTCAAGTACTCAAACGGCTCTTAAGGTGTATTGCTCCTAGGGCAATGGACCCGTACCCAACCCAGGACCCGATGGGTATGGGTCCAAATTACTACTCGGGGGTAAGGTTCGGTTCAACAATGCATATCCAAAAATTTTCGGTTACGGGTATTGGTGGACCTGCCCCGTACCCGACCTGGACCCATTAGTTAATAAGTTATTAAGTATATATATTTAGAATTTAAAGTATATATAAAGATTAATAATTCATTATTCAATTAAAATCATATTATATATTTTAAAACGTAATTATCTAACTAAAATATAACCTACCTAATTATAATTTAACATTAATTAAACAAACTTAAACCATCGTGTTTTAAGCTTTGTTTTTTTTTATGGCCAAACCCTAAATCCCTAAATCCCTAAATCCATTCCCAAACGCAAAGCTCCTGCTCAACTGAAGCATTGAAGCTTTAACCTCCCTCTATCTCTCTATTTGAAGCTTCGATTACAAAAACCCTAGCCGCCCGCGCTCTACGTCTGTCTACGTCAGTTGGATCTTTGAAGCTTCGATCGCATTTGCATTCTCTCTCTATCTTCCCCTACAAAACCCCAATTCTTCTCCCTCTCTTCCCCTGCAAGCGCCCAACTCTCTCTTCCCCTACGGCCCACCAAATCCTATTTTTTTTCCAAGCTAGATCTTTGATAAGAAAAAATGACAAGTTTTCATTTGATTTTTGTGCAATCTTTTTTTTCATCTTGATCTTCAGTGTAAGATCAACAAAAATGACAACTTTTTATTTGATTTTCACACATTCATTTTTCGCATCTTTATTCCTGGTGGAAGATAAGCAAGAATGACAAGTTTACATTTAATTCTGTGCTTTCTTTTTTTGCATATCGATGCTCGATGAAAGATGAACAAAAATGGCAAATTTTTATTTGATTTTCATGCTTTTTTTTTTTTACATCTCGATGCTCGATGAAATTCAACAAAAATGGCAAAGTTCCATTTCATTTTCATGCTTATTATTTATTTTTTTTATATCTTGATGCTTGATGGAAGACCATAAAAAATGGGAAATCTTTATTTGATTTTTCTGCTTTCTTTTTGATATTTTAGCACGATTTCTTAGGAAAACTCTATGGAAGAAGCTGCATTAAGGAAATTTGGTGGGTTTTTACATAAATATGCATGAAAAAGAAATTTGGGATATTTTTACAGAATTATGCATTAAAAAGATCCATCATATTTGTCCTGGGCACCGGTCTGGGTCCTAGGTTGTAATCCATATCCCGAGTATGTGTACGGGTATGGGTATAGGTATGGATTCTTTGGACCCATCAAGTATGGGTCCATAAGTGGCATTTTGGGTCCAAATCCAAGTCCAAGTCCAGGTCAGGATCTACTCATTTTTGTCCTGGGTATAGGTCTAGGTCCCAGGTCGTAATCCATATCCCGGGTACGTATACAGGTATGGGTCTGGATTCTTTGGACCCATCAGGTACAGATCCAGGTACAAGTCCATAAGTGGTATTTCGGGTCCGGGTCTGGACCCGGACCGGAGCCAGACCCATCCCATACCCGCTGCCACCCCTAATGGATCCTCGGCTCTGCACAAAGTCTGGCAAAGTCGTGCATACAATAGTACCTTTCCCTTGCAGTTGGGCACACTGAAGAACCACTAGTGCATTAAATCCTATCAAAGCTCGTGTAGCGTGCATGCAAAACCAGAACTCTTAATTTTTTTTTTTCTAATTTTAAGTAGATTTCATTGAGATGATGAAAACCAAAACTCATCTTACGAAACTCATAGTAATGCTGCCAATTTCTCATAAAATCTCCCAAAACCATACATGCATACGGGTATGTGTGCAAGCAACAAAACCCTAGGAGAGTCTACAAAACTACTTCCCATAGACAATTCTGCAGCAAAGCTGACTCAAACAGATGATATGTACATGAGAACCTTGAGTTTTTCCTTTTTTTCTTTCTTAATGTTTTTCGATGAAATGCAGTCCTAAACAAGTATTATTACAACTTATTCCTCTTAATGATTAATTGCATACTTTAATAAATTGAATAAGAAGTGGTGCAGAACAAGTTAATTTACTGAGACCTAAAAGGGGGGAAAGACATGATGCAAACATTGAATCATTTACGCATTAAAAGCAATGGCAACGACATAGGGAAAAGATCATTTCCTCTCCTCCCGTTGTGAATTTCCCTACTGTAGAATGCCTGCAATTGGGGATGGTTTAAGCAGTCAACTGCTACAGAACCAAGACTACAGGTCCTGAAGAGTACAATATAAACATGTTAAAACTTATTTCCCCAAAAGTAAAACTAGTACCTTCTATATTTGTAGAAAACACATCTTAAAATTCCTGGTCTTCAGATTGAAAGTTGACGGCAATACGAGACAAAAGCTTAGAAAGCTCTGAGATAGCCACCTGGTAGTCATCCGGTTGTCTCGACCTCGACCATGCAGTCGATTGTGGATTGAACTCGTATTCATTTCTTGCTACTTTGATGTTTTTGATATGGATTGTGCTTTTTCCAAGTCTGACTGTCTGAGAGGTCTCGGATTCTGAAACACAAATCTACAGCTTTTAAATTTGATTTTGTTGAGATTTAAATTGGAAAATTTGCAATTTTTCTTTCAATAGGTATCTCAAGGGAACACTGTTACCAAGCACTCCATAATTTTATCTACCCAAAAAAAAAAACCACTTCATAATTATGAAATTAAAGGAGGTCTCCTTGTTTTCCAATTGAACTCTGTTATATCATGGTACTTCAGTGGTTTTAAAAAAATCCATAATGGAGCTACTGTTATCTGTAAATATCGTGCAATTACAATCACTAGGACTACTTGTAAAGTTTCACTAACCTTACTCAAATTCAATAATTTTTTAATCCAAAAACTATGCAATTAAACTCACTATCTTTTAAGTAATGCAATTACAATAATGCTGCATTTTGTATAGTTTATGCAAGCACTCAAACAAATTAGATTTTACCTCATAAAATCTTCTTCTAGGGATAAGATTTGTTACTTATAAAACTGTATTTGTCTGGAAAAATACAGTTTGGTTATACCTAAGGCAGTAGCATGGTCTCAAGTAAAATTACCAGAGCGTTGGTCTTTACAATCTGAATCCCAGATTAAAAATCCTGAAAATAAAGACCCTGAACAAATCATAGAATACTCTGACGAAGAGATAGAAATCCGTTATCCATCTTCCAGAAAGACCATACTAAGACTTGATAATTCAAGTATCAGGGATCCTCCTAGGAGTTCAACATTTTCAGTTCCACAATCTGAATATGAAAGAATACCCACTCATAGAAGAACTGTTATTGAAAGACTTCATAGAACTCCAAACCAAGTTCAACAACCAGTCTATAGAGTAGACACTCCAGGATCGTCTGAACTAGAAGAGCCAACACCCTCATATATTGATTTTTATATATGTGTTATTCAGAAAGAAGAATTCAAGATTGACAAAAAATGGAACCAAAAAGGCTTCTTCTCTGAAGAAAATAGACAAATAAGAAAATAGTTCTTCAAAGAGTTTAAAGAACCTATTCGGGATGCCTTCAGTTTCACCTCAAAAGCAAAAAATGGAAATATCAAAATATGTTGCAATATTACAGCAACAAAACCCCAAACTATCGAAAGAAGAGCTTAAAAGGAAGCTCTGGAGTGCAATAGAAGATAATGTGGAAAAACTGTCCACCTCTACTCAGAGTGACGAACAAGAAGACTACAGTCCAATGAACGGTGATGATTGTGCAGGTATTGAATTTCCTTCAAAATAAAGAAAATTCACAAAAGGTACTAAAACGACTCCACCCCTATCCAGGACACGTGTCCCAAAAAACGACAAAATCTGCTTTTCACTGTAGCCACCACCAACAGAATCTGCTTTTCACTGTGGCCACCACCGATAGAATCTGCTTTTCACTGTAGCAGATAAACATCTTTGAAAAGGCTGTCGGAACAGATTTCAAATAAATTTCAAATCCGCTTCACTTTGCCAACTATAAAAAGAGGAAGGCTTCCTTCATTTGGATATTTGGAGTTTGACGCAGGAAAGAGCTCAAGTTAGTGTTGAGTGCTCTCTCTCTCTCTCTCTCTCTCTCTCTCTCTCTCTCTC